TATCTTAGTCTGGAAGCTCTGCTGAAACCTGTCTACCATGGGTAAACCTGCTGGCATTTGCAACATCATTGACATAGCATCCAGCCTCATAGCAACATGCCAGCCAGCAGAGGACAATAAACTGTCACACAAGTTCATCTCCCTTAGCTGTTCCACACTGCTCCGCTCACTTTCTGGCCTCCCTTAAAGCTGTTTCAAACCCTGTGCCCAGCTCTCTTTCTGGCCCTCCCTTAAAGCTACTCCAAACCATGTTGTGCCAATTGATCAGGATGTTCCCAGAGACTATGGTCCTGAGGGCACATGTCCAGTGATTCTCTCTCTCGAGGTGTTTGGTTGTCACTGAGAAGTTACTCTAACTCTGTCTTCTGTTGCTTCTGTAATGTATGTGGCTAATTTTATAGCACAAGTGAATATATAAGATTATCTTCAGCCAAATCTTTCCTTGGTCTAGGGTATATTCCTGTTTGCCTAACCTCACCAGATCTTCTCTTGATTATCTCCTGATTAACAATAACAACAGGTTTTTACACCCCTGGCTAAATTTTTCTTAAGTATTTAATCTTTTGGGTGGCTATTCCAAATGGTATTGTTTTCCTGATTATTCTTTTCAACATTCTCTTTGTTGGTATAGAGAAATCCCTCTGATGTTTTTATGTTGGTCTTGTGTCCTACTACTTTCCTCAATTCTAGTTCCAGTAGCTTTCTTTTGGAGTCTTTATGTACAATATTATGTCATCTGCAAAGAAGGATAGTTTTACATCTTTACCAATTTGAATGCCCTTTATTCTCTATTATTACTGTGGAAATGTCTATTTTTCTTTTCAGTGCTGTTGGAGTTTGTTTCCTGTATTTTGGAGCCCTAGCATTGGGTGTGTATGTATTTGTTATTGTTACTTCCTTTTTTGTGGATTAACCCTTTAGTCATTATATAATGTCCTTCCTTAAATTTTACAGTGGAATTTGCTTTAGAGGCTATTTTATCAGAGATTAATATTACCACTCCTACTCTCTTTATTTATTGTTGGCTTGATATGTTTTATCTCCATCCTTTGAGATTTAGTTTATTCATATTTTGTGTCTAAGATGTGTCTCTTGTATAGAGCACATTGATGAGTAGTTTTTTTTTTTAAATCCATTTTGCCACTCTTCGTCTCTTTACTGGTATATTTAAGCCATTTATATTCAGTTTGATTATCAATAGATATGAGATTACTGCCATCATTTTGTTGTGTTTTTTTTTTAAATTTTTATTGTAGTGTTCACAATTTTTTTGTTCCACTTGATTTTCTAGGCTGAGTTCTTTTTGTTTATGGATTTTCTTTTTGTTTCTTTCACTGTCATTGATTTTGTGTTTACTGAGTCTTTTTTTTTCTTTTGATGAATACGTTTATTAACTTTCTTTGTGATTACATTAAAATTTACCTTTATCTTCCTATGTTCAAAGCAATCTTTTATTTCTTGATGTTGCTTGGACTTTGTCTCCATACATAAGTTCTATAATTACACCATCTATTCCTCCTTTTCATTTTGATATTGTTGTCCTTTACAGAGTGACATCTCTAGTTCTTTGTTTTCAATGTTTTAGCTTTATTTTTGAGAATTCTTATTTGGGTTAGTATCTGGCTGATGCTGTCCTGTGCCCTAATCTCAGATTGTTGTCAGATATTGTTTGTCTGTCCAAAAACTCCTTAAAACTTCTTGTAAGTTTGGTCTGATTTCCACAAAGTCCCTTCATTTCTGTTTACCTGAAAATGTCCTAATTTTGCATCATATTTAAGAGATAATTTTGCTGGATATGTAATACTTGGTTAGCAATTTTTTTTTTCTTTTGAGGTTTTATATATGTGTTTGGTTTGCATATTATTTTTGTCAAACTGTTGTTCGGTGCTGTAAAGTCAGTTGTGACTCATACCAACCCTGTGTACAACAGAATGAACACTGCCTGGTCCTGTGTCATCTTCACAGTCATTGATGCACTTGAGCTCATTGCTGTGGGCCACTCTGTCAGCCTATCTCATTGAGTGTTTTACTCTTTTTTTCACTGACTTTCTATTTCACCAAGCATGGTGTCCTTCTCCAGGAACTAGTCCCTCCTGATAACATGTCTGAGGTGCATAAGATGAAGTCTTGCCATTCTTGCTTCCAAGGAGCATTCTGGCTGTACTTCCTCCAAGATTATTTGTTTGTTTTCTGGCAGTCCATGGTATAGTCAATATTCTTCTCCAATGCAGTAATGCAAATTACTAACTAACTCTTCTTCAGTCTTCCCTATTCATTATCTGGCTTTCACATGCCTATGTGGCAACTGACAATACCATGGCTTGGGTCAGGTACAACTTATTCCTCAAAGTGACATTTTTGCTTCTTAATACTTTAAAGAGGCCTTTTGCAGTAGATTAAAAAAATATTAACCTCCAAAAATATCTGTATCTTAAGCTGTTAGTGCCCTAAAAACACATCATTGAAATCCATAAGCAAAAACTATGGGAAACATTATAGTGATTGCAGTCAATGTCATGAAACAAAATGTGTATGAACTAGTGAATGGAAAATGAGTAATGAGTTTGCTCTGAAAAATTTCACCCAAATCACAATAAAAAAAAAAAAAATTGTGAATCTTTCCAGAGAATGCACAAATATAAGGACAAACTCATGCTGACAATGTATTTTGTTCCTTAAGTATCTTAAGAACTTCCTTCATATGTAGGCTTACATCATTCTTTTTAAGGGCTGCTTAGAATTCCACTGAATGGTGTCACAGAATCTATTTATCCAGACCTGTATTAATGAACACTCAAGTGATTTCTAGACTTTTGTTTTTACCAATGTGCTGAAGGGACCATTCTTGTCCATTTATTCACCTACACTTTGGTGAAATTTCTAGTGGTTGAAGTGCTGGCTCAAAGAGAATATGTTTTTGAAACGTTGGTAAATATGGCCAAATTGCCTGCAAAGAAATTACTCCAATTTTTGTTGGGAGATGTAGAGTCAATTCCGACTCATAGCAATGCATGGGGGTGGGGAGGGGAACCCCTTTTGCATGTACAGTGTTGCATTGTCAGTGATGGCAAGAATCAATCATCAATTTATGGGTGGATAGATGGGTGGACAGGCTGAATGATCAGGTAAGCCTAGACAGCAGGCAGTGTGCACATGGCCATGTATAGGGTTGGTAGATGATGTTTCTACATGCATATTTGTATGTGCTGTAAGAGTGTCTGGGTGTACAGTAGATCTGACAAGGGACAAGGTTGTGGTGGCTTCTTGGCCACAGCCAGCTACACTAAGGGAATGAATAGTTGGACCTATGGGCTCAGGACCATGGTTGCAGGGGACATCAACTTCAAATGGCATAACATACTACACAAAAACATTGTTGTACATCCTACTTTGGTGAGTAGTGATTGGAGTCTTAAAAGCTTACAAGTGGCCATCTAGATGCAACGATGGGTCTTTCCTCATCAAGAGCAAAGGAGAAGGAAGAAAACCAAAGACGCATGGAAACAATTAGTCCATGGAACTAGTAGACCATGTGATCCTCAGCCTATATAACCATGAGAGCAGAAGAACTAGATGGTGCCCAGCTACCACTGTTAATCTTCACAGGGGTCAATGCAGGAGATCCTGGATAGAATGAGAGAACAATATGGAACAAAACACAAAATCATTAAAAAA